CACCCCACCTCCCCCATTGCTTCCTCCGTCTGTGTCTGCCACCACCAGACATAGGGACTGATAATATCTGCTCCAACGCCCTCTCCTCCTCCTGTTTTGTTCCACTCCTCTCCTGTGTGCTACAGTACCTATTGTTCATCCACACTGTGCATAAGCAGGTTTTGCAGTCCCCCCCCCCCCTTTTATTTGTTTTCTAAAAATTTAAGCTGCAGCTACATTATACTTTTTCTGTTTTCTGTGTGTGTGTCACCTCACTGATTATTATTTGTATTCACTTAGTGTCTGGACACGTCACTCCGCTCCCTGAGTGTGAGCTGAACAGCAGGTTGCGTGCATCATCCTTGCATCATCCTGCAGTATGTTTCAGACACAAGCAACTCCTCGACGTCTGAAAGGACAAAGCTGTGTGGACGCTCAGCAGCTCAGGGCTGCTGGACAGTTTGAATGTTAGCATGTGGCTCTGGCATGACTTCTGTGACTGTGTTTATTCCAGTGAGGGGTAAAAAAAAGTGAGAGGAACAAGGACAGGCTCTGTGAAGGGAGGAGCTGCGTTTCAACATGCTCTGCCATTGGTCGGCGGTGCGCCCTGCTTGCCTGTAAACCTCTGCCTGATTGGTTTCTGCTTTGCATTGAGCAGGGCAGCTGCAGTTGTGAAGAACTGCCCCTTCCCTTTTCATACCCCTTCCCTTCATATTAATAACTGTCTGAGAATCATCTGCACCCCGCGCTCAAACCTGCGCCACCTCAAGGACATCACTTTCCACTGTATGATCACGTCAAGTTTCTTAATTACTTTTTGCTCCGTGGAGGGCAGGGGGAGTTGAAGTGACGTATCTGTCCTGCCTGCAATCTCCCTCCATCCTCTCCCTCTCCCTCTCTCTCTCCACTGTATCACTTAATCAAGACATAGCTTGCCCTTTCCTGTTCATTGCTGCCTCCCTCCCTTCTGCTCTCCTATTTGTTTGCCCTCGCCTTTTTTCTCCCCCTCTTTGGCTGTTTTCCCTCCACCTTTCCTGCAGCATGATCCTCATCAGCCTCCCTCGAAAGAAGCTCCGCACGAGGCTGTAGCCTCACAGTACCGTTTCCCACTCCAAAAGGGTGCAGTTTTTCTTAACGCTTCTTCTGTTTTCTCAACCCACAGCGAGACAACAAGCAAGGACATGCAGCGGAGAGGTCAGTGAGGAGGATGACAGCTGGAGAATAGAGAACAGCGAAGGAGGGATGAGAAGGAGACTGAAGTAAGAGAAGAAAGTGGAACTTCAAAGTGCCTACCCGGGGGTTTTGTTCAGTGGGTCTGCTGGGTTACAGCAGGTGAGGGCTCAGTCTGCATTCGGCCTTGAATTGAGGCTATATTTTGTCCTGACACAAAGTCATCCATCCCACGTTGCTGAGCTGCAGTCTCGACATACCCTGAGCTGAGTTACAACGTTGTCTCCACATTACAAGGACGTTACGGTGTAAGGTTCTGCTTTTTTTTTTGGCTCAACTACAATCTTTTTGTTTTTTCTGCAGTAACTGCTCTGGGGCTGAACATGTTGACATGAATGTAAATAAGACTTATTGTGGATCTCATCTTATCCGTGTAAGTTTACAAACATATCTGAGCAGACCATAGCTATGCCTTCAGAGTAGTTTCCCTGTTTTATTTTATTTTTTTCTTTCGAGGCAGAGCTGGCCTCTGCTCAAAGCTAACCTCCGCTATCTCATTTTGTGAAACTTCAGCTGACACTTTTCCCAAGAAGAACTAACAAACATCCCCTAAAACACAAACAAAAAGACTCCAGGCCTATACACACACCAAGGGAAAATAGTTTTTTTTTTCCCTCTGCGCTTTTTCCAGGGAGTTTTTTTCCCCCCATTGAATCACTATTAGTCACCCCTGATCAAGTTGGACATTTTTTTCCGTCCATTTGCCCTCGCCTCTGCTCAGCGTTTGTGTGCGTCTCAGATGGCTGTCAGCATGACCATGGGGCGAGACACCAAATGGCTGACCTTGGAAGTGTGTCGTGAGTTTCAGAGAGGCACCTGCTCGCGGTCTGATTCCGAGTGTAAGTTTGCACACCCCTCACGGAGCTGCCATGTGGAGAATGGTCGAGTCATCGCCTGCTTTGATTCACTCAAGGTAACAATGCAACACACACATCGCACACATCGCGGTCCTGCCATGTTACAAAGGGTTTGTTCCCATGTTCTCTGTCAGACACGTCGGCATCTGTGGTACTTTTTTGTGATGTGTTTTATGCCCACTTCTAGACTTTTTAAAACAGTCACATCCACTAGAAATCAAAACTTGAGAAATTAACTTTACTTATGTTTTTTATCATCATCAGAACTTTTGGATTTTATAAGTACGTCTGCGCTATTTTGCTGTGATTATAATTTTATTGTAACAAGCTGCTTGTCTACATAAGAAGCTGTATAAATATTCTTTTTAAATTTGTAAAAATATCAGCTTGTAGTCTTAAAAATCTCAGTTGAAACCAAGGATGAATGAAATTAATGCAAGTACCACGAGAACCCCAATTTTGCAACCTAATAATGTACAAAATCTTTGTGCCTTTTTCACTTCTTAAATAGTTTGAAATCAAAGATCAGATGAAGAAATCAAACCAAACTTTAAGCTACGTGTAAACGTCCTTTAGAATACAGAAACACTGACAAAATGTACATTTTTAAGTTTGGATTTGAATACTAAAAGTTGAGTTTTTTCCTGTTGCTGTACTGTTGTTTTAAGCTAAAGTTGTATTTCAAAGTGTAATATACAAAACAAGGTTTGTTTTTTAGTCTTTATTGACTCAGTGGAGGTAATGCAAGGACATGGCGGTGGTCAGCATAGTTAACTCACAATTAAAAAGCCCAGATTTTAATAATTTCCTGGTGTTTTGGGGGATTTCCTCCAGATACTTCCTCTCACGGTGCAAAAACAGACACGTTGGTTTAATCTGTGATTTTAAACTGACCTTTGGAGTGAGTCTGACGTGTGTTGTCGTATCTTTATTTTGGCCCAGATATGGACGAATGATGTATTCAAGTGTGAACAAAGTGTACCTTTGTTTTTACCTGCATACTGGTTCAGAACTGGGTTATGAAAAAACTAAATTTCATGGGGGAAAAAAGTAAATACTGTCGAATGATAGTTTGAAGAGTACATATTATGCCCCTTATTCATAAGTTGACGTGGTTTCTTGAAGCCTTGTTGAATTTCAGTTCAAATTTAACTCAATTTCACTTTTAGAAAACCTGTTTCCATTGCAGGTGATTTTAAGGTGCTTAATGAGAATTTTTAATCCAGTCTTCTCTTCTCTTTCAAGTAGAATGTGGCTGATTGTTTCTGCAGAAAAGATTCTAAACCTGGTCCTTTTAAAACACTGATAGTTGTGTATTTATTTTGTCTTCTGTTAAAGCAATAATAACGCATTCAGTTTAAAAATCATAGCTTCCAACATCTGTCTGAAAAGCAAAATCAAAGAATAACAATAACAGGTTAGAAAACTCTGAACAAAGTACTGTTAAAATAAACTTGTTTGGTTGATCATTTCTTTGTTGTGTTTCTTGGTAATAAATCTTACACTGTTGGAAAGCCTTTTAAATGATGCCACATTTGTAAGGAACATGCATTTGTGGGGTGAACAGTTTGGCACTGGCAGAGAAGATTTGGCCATTTTTTAATGTGTGCAACCCACATAATCAGCTCTACTGCTCATCCCACAGATGCATGTTCCTTATAAATGTGACACCATTTAAAAAGGAACTTAACAGACTTTCCGACGGTATAAGATTTATTGCCAACATAAAATAATAATCTACCAAACAAATGTACTTTAAGTTTATTTGATTTGAAGTTAAATGAATCATTTTGGTAAGAATATGCATTTAAAAACAAAATAAAATCTATTAAAAAGAACTTCTCTTGCAGAAAGTGACTTGCAGCAGAATTTCAAGTTGTTGTAGGGAGGAGATAAAACTATGGAGGATGTTTTCGTCTCTTTAAAACATAAAAATTGATCATATAGTTTTTTAAAGTAAACGTTTAACTCTGTGTTTGCTGGTTCTGGTGATTGCTTCCGTTTGGCTGAAGTGTAATTTCTCAGGCTGATCTGCTGACGCTCTGTTCCTTCATCTCTGCTGATGTGGACTCGTTGGTCGTTCTGCTTCAGCATCACTGCAGCTGCTCTCCTGACTTTTATACTGTCTGCTCCACCGCAGAACCACACCATCAGCACTGTGCACAAAGAAAAAAAAAAACAGTGAGAACTGATGATACTTCGCTGTGTTTTTACACAAGCTCCGGTTGTTTAAAATACAATGAGCCGTACTAAATCAGAATATGCAGTTGGCGTGTTGACGTGTCTGTGTTTGTGGAAGATGTCGCTTCAAAGCTTTTCCGTAGCCAAGAAGCGACTTGTGGAGAAGGGGCTGTCTGTCTGAGTGCAGCTGCTGTCTCCTCGTTTATTGAGTTAGAATTTATTATTCAGCCATTTTTCTGTGTTATGTCCTACAGAGCAGAGGGGAAGATGGAGAAGAGAGACGGAGAGAGGGGGCCTAGCAACAGCGCAGGAGTGCATACCCATTGGATAGTTTGATCTTTCTGAGTGGCGTGGCTGTTTTTAGCACAGAGCAACAGCTTGGTTCTGTGCTGGTCACATCGAGGGGAGCTGCTTTTTTTTCCTTCTTCTTTTTTTTTTTTCGCCAAAGTGAGGAACCATGAAAAAAATAGCTTAAGGTCATGTTAGAGAGAAGCTGAAGGTCGAAGCAGTTTACAAATCAGAGTTCAGCAGGGCTGTAGTGTCAGCACAGTAAACAAATATCTGTTTACAACAGTGCCCTTACCCTTAGTGTGTTTGATGATTACACTTAGCTGATGTTGTTTTTGGTCAACTGACTGAAGTTCTGACCCCCCCCCCCTCCCCCCGGTTAATTTCATGGATTTATCTGCTAGTGGCCGCCCCTCCTCGCCGTTCCTCCCATATCTGGCATCTCCAGGCCCGGTGCACACCGACCGCTGTCACTCCCTGTTGCTCCTCCATTAGCTTCTGTCTGCTCACTTTGAATGGGTGCAGAGAGTGGGGGGGCCTCACCACTTAGTTCTCTTTACCTTGTTAACTGGAGTGCTGCTGTCATCTCATACGATTAGGGTGGACATCACGTATGCCCATCATCATACAGTAGATATAATTGCAATTTCACTTTTGAATGACATCACCCTGGTGCAGAAACAAAGAATATTTTAATTTTGTATTAAGCTGATCGGTTTGTAACGCAGTTTATTTCTGAATTAGCGTTGCCAAAATGTATGAAGATGCTTCATTTGCAAAAACGACAGGAGAGGAAAATCAAAGGCTGAAACCTCCAGATTTTCTTTCTGAGCGTATTTAGACCTGAACTCAAAGAGCGCCTGAAGCCAAAAGGACATTTTTTAAAAAATTTTCACACATTTTTACACTCGCAGTGAAAAGAAAGCATTCGGTGTCGTCACAAATAAGCACAAGCTCAAACTTTAAAATGTTGAACAGAATAAAACCACAGAGTTTCCTCAGACATCACCAGAACATTAAACTCAGCTGTAAAATGTGTGCAGCACCGCAGATCATATTTTTTACCATCCCAGCTTTTCTGCAGGAGCACAGACTCTCTCTGTGTTGCATAGTGTGTTGCTATGGCTACCAAAAGGAGATTCCTGACCTCTCTTCAGCACCGCTTTTTATTGGCCTCCTTCTCTACCCTAGTTTTTACAGCCTTCGTAACAGCTCTTTAAATGTGTCCATGTTTGTATTATAAAAACACAGATTCAGTCAATTATTTGCTTTTACTTTTTGAAGCCATTATGTGCAGCAATAGATGCATTTTTATCCCGCTGAGTTGGAACAGGAGAGCTCAGGGGACTCGCTCCTCATTACAAACTCATCCCTAAACACAGCCTGCTGACGCAAAGCTTGCTCACGTCTCCAGTGTGAGCGAGGGCTTTTATTACCCTCTGCTCTCCACGCTCATTTGTTTCAGGTGGCTGTGTGCTCACCTGTACACTTATTGTGTGAAAGGAAGCTGGCAATGGAGACTTTGACAGCGGGGGTTCTCAGACTTTATACTCAAAGGTCAAAATCTAATTTCTAGATGAGGTCAAAAGTCAGGAAGAACTAGCGTTAAGCTAATTATATATATTTTTTATTAAATTTGTTCACTGCTAAAACAAAATGCACGTTTGCCTGTGAAGCTAAGGTGCTCTTACTTTTGATGGTAAAGCTTAACATGATTAAAACGTTTGCAATAATTGTATTTTGTCAAAATATAATGAATCGTTTGAATGAACTGTCAGAAAAATAATCTTAAATAATTTTTGAAGCCCTTTTTAGCAACAAAAAACATGATTTTGAGCAAAAATGCCTTCAATTTTTGCAATTTTCCGTGTGAGTTAACATAGCTTTTATTTTTTTCCAGCTGAGAAATCTCAATATATACTCTTTGAGGTTTCCTCTTCAAAATTACATTTAAAATTCCTCATTAAGATAACCTAAAAATAGGATTCAGACCAATTATCAATGGGTTATCCTGATAGGAAGATGAATCAAGGCATATCTCTGAAACTGCTCATCAGATCAGGATGATCCAGGTATCAAAATGTAGCTTAAAAAGCAGAAATCTGAAAATGTTCTTTGGTCATTTTGACCAAATTTAACCTGCGCTCGGTCACATTTATCTTAATTATGATTACTATTCATGCACCTTGCTTAAGGGTGCAGAATGGGGTGAACGAGGATGTGGATGCTTCACCTCCTTCACACAAATTTGATGTAACAGTTGGGATTCTAACCGGTGACCTTTCAATCACAGCCTCATCTAGCCTCTGTGCCACCACTCCTCCTAGAATGCAGACTCACAACATGATGACTACAAAACAAATACATATTTTTCCATCCAGTCATCCTTAAAAATCCACTTCTCTTAGTCTGCCTAATTTCTAATAATCGCCTTCTCTTTACACAACATTTGGAAAAACAAAGTCAAACATCTTGTGACCTCAAGAGTCGTAGCATTTATTACGGTTACCGCAGCCTACACTGTGCATTTACTGTTAGAACATTTTACAGCTAATTTTCATCTGTCTTAGTCATGCGCTCCCATTCTCACGCCACACACTCCCTCCCTTGTTCGCCCAGAGCACTCTCTTAAAGGAGCCACACAGCTCAGAACTGTAGTAAAACATAGGCTTCATTGCATTGTATTTGCATTTTAATGTGATGCCATAGAATGTGGCCTGGATTTGGATTGACATGATTTTGACTTTTGAGTTTCTGTAACCAGGGGGCGGAGCCAGAGGGGCTGCTGGGTTGGCAAGTGCTACCTCTGGCGCCTGATTGGCCAACCCAGGTGCCACCCCCAAAAAATTCACAAGTGGGTGGGGATCTTGGATTCTGTATTTGCATTTAGATTTTGTTAAAGATTGTTCTCTAAGTACTACTGTATGTATGTTTTTTAGCTGTTTATGTTTAAAAATGGCTAAGTTTTGTAAAATTAGCATTACCATTAACGGTTTGCTCAATTTGGGATTAGCATTGACAATTGGCATGTAATCAATCTTAGATACTCATTAACTCATTAACAACATATTTTACCTCAGTAAGTCTTAAAATGGTTGAATTATAGCTATTTAAAGTTAGATGTGGCAGCCATCTTGAATTTAGTTTAGTTTGTTCATTCATTCTTATAAATAAACAACATAAATTCTATATACAATAAAAG